TCTGAATCTGCTGAAAATTTGAGTCAGGTCAGCTCGACGTGTTTTCATGACAATTTGTGTCAGATGTTTTTGTTTTGATGACAAAATGATTTTACCCCCCCCCCCCTCAAATTTTGGTGTAAAAATGTTGAGCAACGACCTGACTCAAATTTTCAGCAGATTCAGGTTCAGCAGCCGCCTTTGAACGTGAAAAAATTGAAGTACAGTATTTTTGTTGAAAATTGGAAACTTAAGACCTTGTTCTCAATAATATTATTTTTATAGTAATAGAATTTTTTTATCAAGAAAATGTTGAAACCCCCGACCCCCTTGCTCCCTATCCCTCTTCCTGCATCTTATCCCATCTCTCCCCCTTTCCCTTTCCAAGCCCGGCGCAGTCTAGGCCTGTGAAGGCTGTTTCATCATGAGCTGGAGATCCGGTCTGAAGATTTCTGCCTTTTAATAAGAACGTTTTTTCTTACCACTGTAACTTTTGCTGCTTTGCTAAAGTGCTCATGATGGATAGACCGGATCTTTGTAACATAACAATGAGTAAGTCTTTTACCTGCTTTTTGTAAAGTGTCTCAAGATAACACTTGTTATGAGTTGAAGCTATACAAATAAAAATTGATTGATTGAATTGACCCCCGACCTGACTCACATTTTGATGAAAAAATGATGATCCATGTGCCTGACTCGATTTTGTTTTAGCAATAAAACATGTTGAGGATCTCTTTAGAGAGAGAGAGAGAGAGAGAGAGAGGGGGGGGGGGGCATTTGTAAATGTTAGGTCACAGAAGTGTTTCCTTTAAAAAAAAACATAATTTCTTTCACTCATTAAAACACTAAATAATTCTAGAAGCTGTCTGCTCCTCTTGGTAAATGCACCAGGTCATTTAACAAAGCTATGATTTCACTTTTTTAATCTCATAAACTTTGAGAACTTTTCACATTCTCACACTATTGAAAGACGTTAGCCATGACCTCTGTGGTTCACAGCTGACGTGACACATCATTTCCTTCAAAACAACAACCCACTTCCTCTTCGCCCGACTCTTTCACAGAAATATTTATTGGTGATGAACTGTCAGTCTGTCTTTTTCTCTGGCTTATGGTCATCATGTTTCATCCAAACCAAGCAGCTCTGCTCTCCTTATTATTTATGCACGGGGTCTTTGCAGGTAGAGTACAACTTTTGTGTTTTTTGCAATGCATGCTTTTCTCAAGGCTAAGTTTTGTATCTGTTGCATATGTATTAATTGTTTTTTCATTCTTTGATTTAAGCGGATCAAAAAGTCGTCCACACGGATGAAGAGGTGTCCAGGGGAGGCTCTGTCATTTTTATTTGCAACACATCAAGAGAAAATACAAAACAAATCAACTGGAGCAAAGGCAGATTTCGTTTTTTTCATTCAATGAAAGGAAATGTGACTGTTTCAAATTTAACCTCTGACAGACTGACAATAGATCTATCCTCAAAGCTGATTATTTCTAATGCTCAGGAAGATGATGAAGGACTATATACATGTCATTTAACTGAATCTTCAGGGTCAACGACTTATCGGTGGAATTTAACCGTGTCTGACAGACCTGAAGGTAAGTAGAGCTCAAAGCTGGTCTCCTCACTTAAATAAAAGTCATAATGAATGTGTAAGCTCTGATGACCTGCAACATAAAGTCATTCACATCTGATTTTACACAGAGGAGAAGTCATTGTGGTATTTCCCATACATACTCACAGCTGGGATTGGAGTGGTACTGTGTTGCATCATTTCAGCCACATGCCACATCCTTCTATGTGGCATCCCTCCAGCTGTTTATCTCTGCATGTAAGTTATAACTTGACTGTGTGACAATTTCTGCCAAATAAACAAGCTTTAGTTCATCTTGGCTCACAGTGACCATCTCACACCTGCACCATGTGTTGCTATAGTCTGAGCTCGTTGCAATTTTTTAGACATTTCTGTTTCATTTTGCTGCTTTTATATATATATATATATATATATATATATACACGTCATGCAATTAATACAACAGGATATTTGAATGTGTCAACTTGAGGGTTCTTAAGTTGATGTTTTTCGGGGTATTTGCTAAAATCTCATTTTCTCTAAAGGGCTATCAATCCATCAAAATAAATAAATAAAAAAGCAGATTAATCAATGATAAATATAATTTACCCTATACCCATTCTGTTTTACATAATAGCCTAGATGTTTCTTTTCTTTCTTTAAGTACATTTGGCAGATAATCTCCCTTTTACATTTGATCAAGAAGAGTTCAAAATGTGTCACATTGTTACATTTATGAGTTAGTTCAGTAAAGATTCTAAGACTTTCCTAACAATGTATTGGAGACAGTTGAAATGTGCCATGGAGTAATATTATTGGTTATAAATCCCTACAGGGAAAGCAAGAGCTGGGCCTCAAACCAGGACTTAACCTGCAGCAGAACCCTGATCTATGCCGTGGTTCAAGTCCCGTTTGGAGGAGGAGAGGTCAGAAGAACTTTACTCAAACTAGTGTGCTCTAAAATCTCTCAAACATTTTGTCCTGTGAGTTTATTTCCACATTTTTCCGCTGCAGGTGCCTCTGAATCTGCCCCAAAGCTGTGTGGAATACAAGATGATGAACACTTGAAGGGACTCGACTTCAATATTTTTCATTGAGTTCAGATTAAAACTGAGTAACCAGACAGCTGCTCGAATGGAATAATGACGGAACACATCTCTATGACATATATATATATATATATATATATATATATATATATATATATATATATATATATATATACAATTTATATATAAAAAAACAAAACATTTCAGCAGGAAAATTGATGCCCTCAGTTTTCACCTCTTAAAGGGAACACATTTGCAACCCTACTTCTTTGAAATCAGAACATTTTTTTGGCATGCCTTTGCCTTTTATTAGAGGGCCCTGTAGCAGGAATGTAATTTCTAAATCCCGTCATATCATCTTATTATCTAATTCAATTTTCTTTTTACATTGCTGTACTCTATTTTTTCAGAATTATGAACTCTTCTTAAATGTTTTGTTCTATTTTATTGTGGTTCTTGTGGCTAACCCTTTTGCACCAATACACCAAGACAAATTCCTTGTATGTGTAAATGTACTTGGAAATAAAAAACAATTCTGATTCTGATTCTATTACCCTTTAAATTTGATTAAAAGAACTTTGGATCGACTTGTTTTTTAAATGTATGTATTGGTATGACAATAATAATAATAATAATAGCTAGGCAAATTGGTTTTGAAACCCAAATATTTATTAAGTTTAAAAATTAAATGCTGTTTTTATTATAATTATCATTTATTATTAATAATTAATTATTTTGGAGCAAAAAGTTGTATTTCATGATGAAACACCAAGTCAGCAGACATTATGGAGCAATGGAAACTTGGCTTTCAAGGAGAAAAAAAAGAAAAGATAGTTGCTGTTGCACACCTGACCACAAGAGGGACTGCGTTAAAGGTGAAATAATTCATGGAACATGGATAGTGGAAATTCCGATCCCCCCTAAAAGCAGCAGGATCCCTTTTTGTCACGTGCTCTACTTGTACTGGTATACTGGTATTTTAACTTCCAAATAAATGAGGAAACACTAAAGACACACAGAGAAGAATGTAACAATACACACTAGAACAAAAAGAAACACAAGCATAATATAAGAAATGACATAATGAAACAGAACAATAAATCTAAACTCTGAAATACACAAAATACAAAACTAATCAACTCCACATCATGAACACTTGCAAACATTGTTAATGTTGTTACACCGACTATTTTGTCATTATTAAAAACCAGTTACTGTATAGACATTTGAAAAAAAAATGTGTGTTGTCCCAAATACCGTGTTGGTCCGATTATAAGACGACCCTGATTATCAGACGACCCCCGTTTTTCTACACTCATTATAGAAAAAAAAGATTTGCAGACCAGATCTTGTTTTTATAAAGAATTTTTTTTAAAGAACTTCATTTTATTTGAAAATAACAATATTAAAAACACATTGAATTAAACACCTGTTGTATTAATAATTATAATAATAATTAACTTACCGTATTTATCGGTATAGGCCTACGGCACTTTTCAAAACAAAGTGTTTCACAAGGGCGAACTATGAACAGTATGATTCAACATTAAAATCGATTAACAATCAAACAATATTATCAACATGTTTTTAACATTTTGAAATAACAGAAGAAATACAGGCAACGTTTTTAACTAAACTACCGCTAAACTAAAGCTTGCCAAACTTCTCCTCCGATGTCTCCTATTCCTCACACACACACACACACACACACACACACACACACACACACACACACACACACACACACACACACACACACACACACACACACACACACACACACACACACACACACACACACACACACACACACACACACACACACACACACACACACTCTGCCACATCACTCCCCTGCTCCTCCCAGAGCGCGTCATGTGTGTTGATATTTAAAGGGACAGGTGAACAATTAGAGCTGCGCTCTGAATACTAGACCCCGAATATAAGACGACCCGACTTTTTCGGACCTATTTCGATGGGGAAAAAGGCCGTCTTATATTCGGACCAATACGGTAAATGCTTTATAATGAAATCAACTGGTTGGGACAGCCTCACTACAGGAATACTAAAACATGTAACTGTATAGTTTAATACAAAAACAACAGATACAGATGCAAATAGCCCAGAGAGAATATAATGCAGTAAGAGGTCACTAAAATACTAAAGGAAATGTAGCTCTTTGGATAGTGAACATCTCTTCTATGTAACAACAGCACTTTCAAAGTCAGTCACAAGAGCTCTAAAAGACCTTTGTTTTATTAACAGTATTTGTAGATCATGTGTGAATGTAGAAAAGTTTTTCTGTAAATGTATTGAATGTATGAACAACCCAAAAAAGGGACTGAAAGATTACTTGGATCGTGTAAATTCCGAGTCCTCCTGAACGCATCCCGTGAGTGTCTGGTTTCGTCTCGTCCTCCTGTTTTGTCTCGGAGCAGAGGAAAGATGCTGGTATAAAGAAGCTGCACACATGGATGGATGGATATGAATAATTTGGACGTAAACTATGGATAGGCCTGTGTTTGGGTTTAAGGAGCACCACTATGCTTTTACTGGTGTTAACGTTGATGGTTCCCACAGTCACAAACGGTATGTTGGCTCAGTTCTAATGAGAAAGTACCTGTCACGGTGTTACCGTTTTCTAGGCCATTTCATGGTAAATAGATAACTTATTAGGCCACTAACAGAAATGTATACAGAACTGAATTATTAAAAACCTCGAAAGAGTTGACTGTGTGTAAAACCTTTTCTTTAAAAAGAGATCTTGTAAAACATATTTCTGTTATCCTACTTATAATAAGTTTAACTTCATCCTTCAACCTTTCAGACGGCAAATTATAAATTCAGACACAAATGTTCCCTTTATAGCCTACTAATCCTCAAAATGTTTTTATTAGTAATTTTGATATGATTTAAAAGCTGGTATCTATTTTGTGGGGAATTGTTAATGCAGACCTAAATAAACTAAAGGCCCACCATGAGGTTTGTAGGCTACTTTGTACCTTTCTCTTATGGACACAAAAGAAATACATGTGTTTTTTTGTATTTTCTTTAATTATTTCAATCAATCAATCATTTTTTATTTGTATAAAATGTATAATGGGGGGTGGGGGTTGTTCTGGCAGGCCGCCAACCAACGATCTTGAGGAGCCTAAGAGAGCTCAAGAGCTCTCAGGAAAGTAGGTGGTTAGTGACTGAGATTTACAGGTAGATACATGCAGTAATATGATGTACTGTAGAAAGAGAGAGATAGAGAGAGAGAGAGAGAGAGGATAGCTCAAGGTGCCAGTTCCCCCAGTAGTCTAAGCCTATAGCAGCAAAACTAAGAGCTGGTCTACACCAGCACCAGCCCTAACTATAAGATTTATCAAAAAGGAAAGTTTTAAGTCTATTCTTAAAAATACAGACTGTGTCTGGAAGGCGGTTCCAGAGGAGAGGAGCCCGATATCTGAAGGCTTTACCCCCCATAGTACACTTAGAGACTGTAGGTACCACTAGCAGGCCTGCATTCTGGGACCGTAATGTTCTCGAGGGGCAGTAGTAGCTCCTTAAGATAAGATGGTGCCTGGCCATTTAGAGCTTTGTAAGTGAGAAGAAGGATCTTGAATTCTATTCTAGACTGTATAGAGAGCCAGTGCAGAGAAGCCAACACAGGAGTAATGTGGTCCCTTTTCCTAGTTCTGGTCAGTACACGAGCTGCAGCGTTCTGGACCAGTTGAAGAGTCTTTAGAGACTTACCAGAGCACCCTGACAAAAGAGAATTACAATAATCCAATCTGGAGGTAACAAATGCATGAACTAGTTTTTCTGCATCATTTTGTGACAGGATATTCCTGATCTTGGATATATTACGGAGGTGAAAATAGGCTGTTCTTGAAATTTGCCTGATGTGAGAGCTAAAAGACATATCTTGATCAAATAGAACTCCTAAATTCCTAACAGTGGTGCTAGAACAGTGGTGCAGGCTGATGTCATTAAGGACAGTCAAATCACTAGAAAAAGTCTCTCTGAGGTTCTTAGGGCCTAGCACAATAACTTCAGTCTTGTGTGAGTTAAGTAGCAAAAAATTTCTGGTCATCCAGGTCCTAACGTCCTTAAGGCACGTTTCTAGCTGACATAACTGACTGGTGCCATCGGGCTTCATTGATACATAAAGCTGAGTATCATCTGCATAACAATGAAACTGTGTGGAGTGTTTCCTCATAATATTTCCCAGAGGAAGCATATATAATGTAAAGAGAATTGGTCCAAGCACTGAACCTTGTGGCACTCCATGGCAAACTTTAGTGTGCATAGAGTACTTATCATTAACATGTACAAACTGAGATCGGCCTGATAAGTAAGATTCAAACCAACTTAAAGCAGTCCCTGTAATTCCAAGTGAATGTTCTAGTCTGTATAATAGGATCTGATGGTCAATGGTGTCAAAAGCAGCACTAAGATCTAACAAGACGAGCGCAGAGAGAAGTCCCCTGTCTGAAGCTAGAAGTAGATCATTTGTAACTTTAACTAGTGCAGTCTCAGTGCTATGGCGGACTCTAAATCCTGACTGAAACTCCTCAAATAAACAGTTGTCATGGAGAAAGTCACACAGCTGATTAGCTACCACCTTCTCCAGGATCTTTGAGATAAAAGGAAGGTTGGATATAGGCCTATAGTTAGCTTGAGTTTGTGAATCTAGAGTAGGTTTTTTGAGTAGAGGTTTGATTACCGCTACTTTAAATGACTGTGGTACATAGCCTGCCAGCAAAGACATATTGATCATATCTAATATAGAGTTGCTAACTAAGGGAAAGACTTCCTTAAACAGCTTGGTTGGGATTGGGTCCAAAAGACAGGTTGATGGTTTCGACGCAGAAATAATTGAATTTAGCTCTGAAAGGTCGATTGGAGAAAAACAGTCTAGACTAATATCTGGTCCTGGAACTGTCTCTGCCGTATCAGACGTATTCGCACCAGGTAAGGGCAGGAGGTTACTTGAGGTTAATTTTGTCTCTGATGTCTAGAATTTTGTTTGTTGAAAAGCTCAGGAAATCATTACTGCTGAGGGCTAAAGGAATACAAGGCTCAATGGAGCTATGACTCTCTGTCAGCCTGGCTACAGTGCTGAAAAGGTATCTAGGATTGCTTTTGTTTGCTTCGATTAGAGAGGAGTAGTAGGCAGCTCGAGCGTGATGTAGAGCCTTCATATATCTTCTATGACTATCCTGCCAGAATAAACGAGATTCTACCGTTTTGGTCGAGCGCCATATTCTTTCAAAATTTTGCAACGATTGTTTTAGAGTACAGGTTTCTGAGTTGAACCATGGAGCTATTCTCTGCCGTTTGATAACCTTCTGTTTTAGGGGAGCAATCGAATCCAGAGTAACTCTCAGTGGTTCCACTGCACTATCAACAAACTGATCTAGCTGAGAGGGACTAAAGCTATCATAAGAGTTTCCAACTGGGTTGAAACACGGTACTGAATCAAAAGCAGCTGAAATAGCTTCCTTAAATCTAGCTACAGCACTATCAGACAAACTTCTAGAGAGCACATTTTTATTAAGCAGAGATAATTCTGGTCGGACAAAGTCGAAAGTAATAAGGAAATGGTCTGATAGAAGAGAATTTTCTAGGAAAACTGTAAGGTTTTGGATTTCAATGCCATAAGCTAAAACAAGATCCAGGGTGTGGTTGAAACGATGAGTAGGTTTGTTTACACTCTGGGTGAAACCAATAGAGTCTAATAATGACATGAAAGCTGTGCTAAGGCTATCAATATCAACATCCACATATTGAAGTCACCTACAACAACTAGTCTTTTACTGCTAAGGACTAAATCTGATAGAAATTCAGAATATAGGCCAGGAGGGCGGTAAACTACAACAACTAGAACTGGCTGAAAGGTTCTTGAGACTGGATGTGAAAGACTAAGAACAAGGCTTTCAAAAGAAGAAAAATTCTGTTATTTCTATTCCAGTGAACATTTATCTTGTGCATCTTTACAGCTCTGGAGGTCATTGGAGGAAGAACGACAATGGTGCAGGGAGGAGCAGCTGTCCTCCACTGTAAACTCATTGGTACCACAGAGACCCTCACACAGATTTCATGGCGGAGATTGACCAGAGGAAAACCTCGGACGGACAATTTCTATACAATCTCGTCCGACGGACCAAACTATATCAATGGCCATGATGATCGGTTTAGGTTCATTGGGAGTTTTACAGATAAAAATGGTACTCTCCAGTTATCGAATGTCACACTGATGGATGAAGGCACCTACACATGTGTGTTCACTTTGTTCCCCAGCGGGATCCATGAGACAGCGATACCTCTTAAAGTTCATGGTATGATACATTCAAAATGCTGCTCATGTTGTGTTTGTATGTGTGAGTCATGAACATCTTAAAGGGATACTTCACCCGTTGAAACATGTCCTCTATTTCAGAATCAGAAATACTTTATTAATCCCAGAGGGAAATTCCATTGTTACAAAATATACAGTATAGCAGTAAAATATATATTAATAAAAACATTTACAGACATATTTACTTAAACACATGAGACCGTTTCCTCAACTGATTCCGAGATTTCTTTCAGAATTGATCTTGTAAATTCCTGTCAGAAAACAGACTCTATGTCTGTGGTCATAGACAAACAGTGAGAGCACCAACACTACCAGTCCGCCCCAGCTCCAGCCGGCCCGGCTCCTCGTCCTCCCTGCCGCCGACAGGCGTCCAGCAATATAGCCGCGAGACGGTCGCGGCGGCCCCGGTGGCCAGCAGCTGTCTTGCGTTATATTTCTATTTTTTCTCCATTATCAGCTTTCTCCATAGAGCCTGTTAGCATAGCTTCCAAGCAATATGACGGACGTTAAGTTTCGATTCTGGGAGTGAGTTCCCACCCACTGATCTGTGATTGGTCTGTAGCTTCAGTGGTCGAAAATATGAGGAACTAGCATTGTAGTTTCACCACGCTAACTGCAACAGCTTCCAATGATGCAAAAATCGTCATTTTGCATCACTGGAAGCTCCTTTTCAGACTCAGAAATACAAAGAGTTTACATCTCGGGGGAAAATGAGGGCGGGATGCACGACCATTCAAAAATACTACCAGGTTTCTAATGATACAAAGATTAATGCTAATGGGTGAAGTATCCCTTTAAGAGTGTGTGTGTTAACTTTGTTGTTGACTGTCGCTCTCTTAGTGCCTCCGGTCACAAGCCTGAAGGATGCTCATCCTGCTTTGGGTAACGACGAGGTCCCTCTTATTACCTGCACGGCTGCTGGTTCCAAACCTCCTGCAGAGGTGAGGTGGCTCACTGGTACTCTGGGAGAGAAAGTGAGGCCGTCAACCAACTCCAGCCTTCATGCTAACGGTACGACTACCACAGTCAGCTGGCTGTTTGGAGTGCCTACCAGAGAACTCAACGATCGTTCAGTCCAGTGTGTCATCACCAGTCCTGCTCTAGAGAGAGAAGAAACCCTGACCTCCACCATACATATCCACTGTGGGTATATAAATACACTCTCCTACATCAGTTGTTTTATCTGTGGTTAATGAACTGTGTTTTTCAGAACATTTTTGAAGCTTCTGTGAGAACACTGGTCATGTTTTATTCCTCCTCGTCATCCTCTTCTTTTTTTGGTTTTCATCGTTGTGTAAGACGAGCCTTCACCAGTGACCAATGGCTTAGCTAACTTTTTGTTTTTGTTTTTCAAATAGCCTGACATGTGATGCTCATAAGATTCACTTCTTTAAATTTTGCAGGATGGTCTTTGTAAACATTTATTTCCAAAAGAGAGATTTTTACTAAAAAAAAAAAAAAAAAGGGAACATGCCATGTAAATATTCTGCTTCTTCTAAAGTTGTTTCTTTGGTTTTGCACGACCGCAGGGTTGATTTTATTTTTTTTCACAAAGGAGAATCTTTGATGTGGATATATTTCATATCATTCATACTTGTACAATATAAGCGACCTTCAACAAGTCTGTGAAATGTTTTCCAAATATTTTCACTCAGACACGCCCCTGATATGTTTTTCCACATGCTCACATCAATCAGCTGTAATAATAAAGTTGGATTTGCTTTAACTTGCTCTTAACTGGGAAACGATGACATCAGGGCACATTTGAGTAACACATAAACATAAACAAATCAGTTTTTTGGGAGTTGCATCCTGATCATTTTGGGTCTTTTACCCGCTCTTTTTAAAGTGTCTTGGCGCTATACAAATAAAGATTGATTGATTTTACTAAATTAAACTCATATGTATTGAGTTTATATTAAATCATGGGAGTCCTCTCCTGGTCTTTGGAAACAGTGATAAAGGTTGCAGATACAGTAGGAGGGTCACACACTTACTGTTGTTGCTTTTGGCTATTAACTGCATCACGGGAGCCTGAATCAGCTGACCTAAAACATAATTTAATAACCAAAGCATGAAAGTCACAGACAGCCAGTCTCATATCATGTGAACGTATCATCAGGCCTGTTTCTTAATCCATTGGCCAGATTGAGGGGATTTTCTTTTCACAGTGGGCTTCTCTCCAAAAATGTTTAGAAATCAAGTACGATGAAATTTATTTTTCATTTATTTTGATGAAATAATTTTTAAAGGACTATTTTTCTTTTTTTTTAAGGTTTATTTTGGGGCTTTTTGGGCCTTTATTTGAGAGATAGGACAGTGGATGGAGTCAGAAATTGGGGAGAGAGAGGGTAGGGAAGGGAGCCACAGCTGGGATTTGAACCTGGGCCACCCGCTTGGAGGACCACAGCCTCCATACATGGGACGTGCGCACTAACCACTGCGCCACCAGCGGCCCTTAAAAGGACTATTGAGTTAGATTATTTGTCAACAAGGCCGATATAAACTGATAGTAATGGCTTTTTGGGATTTATTTTTTTTAATCGAGAAAAAAAAAATTAGAAATGAGATTTCAGCCAATTTGACATCATCTAAATAGCGTAGGTAACAAAACTTTGCTTTGTACGGATTTTGTTTCTTCCTCTCAGTCTGCAGGAACAGTTACGTCTCTTGTTTCTGATGGAATTCCCCCAGAAGCCCTCATGTGACACATACTGAAATGCTCCACCTAACTAATAACAAAAAGTCACAGCATTATCTGCAGGTTCTGGTTACACGTTCATTTATCTGTTTTCAGGCTTTATTTAACCTTCCAGTGGGAATGTTTGACCTTAAGTTCTCATCGTCCTGACAAACAACAGCCTCGATCTGAACAACAACATTTTTTTTTACTTACTGCTGATGTAGAGTGTGGTGTCCTGCTCTCACAAGTTTTAATCATCCCAGCTGAATAGGATCCAAAGATGATCTGTGTGTGTGTGTATATATAATTCACGTTTTAGAGAGAGTAATAACACACCTCATTCTGTCTTCCTGTTTGTTGCAGCTCCTCCTCTGGAAGTGAATATCACTGAAAGGTCGGCACACTCCTTTGAATGTCTCACAGAGGCATATCCAGCTGCGAGCTTTACTTGGACGAGGTACAGACATTTAAATAATCTGATTCCAGAGCAAAACATTTTTAAAATAACATTATTATTTCTGTTTTTTAACTTTGGAAGCATTTCAGACGCTTACAGAATTTGTTTAACGGTGAATCACTCGTGCTCAGTACCCAAATCAGTTGGATTGGTTTGTCTTGTTTGTGAAGCATAAATAAGATTGTAGTGGCTATTTGTCCAAAAAAAGAAAACTGATATCAAACATAATCAAATGAGCACTGATGCACCATGGGAATGAGATGTAAGCAGGCAAAATAAATCCAAGAGATCTGCAGTTTATTTGGTTCAAAAGAAAGGAAACAAAAGAACAAAGATAATCATGTCTCCTGCTGCCTCTCATGCTCTGGTAAAAAACCATAGGCCCACCCAGGTGCATGCTGGTCCTCTACCTGCTTCTGCCACAGTTCTACCAACCGTTTTAACACTAGAAAGACCAAGGCAGTCATTTTGACTGTTTTTTTAATTTTGCAATGTAATAACTTACTTAAAATAAAACCTATGTAACTACAGGACCATGACTTTTCCTAAATGTGTCTATATTTTATTCTAGCATTGTTATTTTATCAAAAACACAAAACACAAAAGAGTTTTGAGTATTTCTACCTTGAAAGTCCATAGCGGGCATATTGACTGCATGCATTATAGCCAGTGTATCATTTCGGTATTCCCTACTTTTTCCCACTCTTGAAGATAGAGGTGGGCGATATGGGAAAAATATCATATCACGATTTTTTTTTGGGCAAAATCACGATCATGATTTTATCACTTTTTTTTTATCATTTTATCTATACTGTTTAGACAAATTTGTAAGTTGCTGACCAGTTCAACCAAACTTATTTCCCTGTATAATGTTTTTTAAATGCACAAAAACTGCACAGACAAGTTTAATCTGTTTGAAAAACATCTTTGTAGGAGGTCTGGAGGTCTCTCACCCAGAACATCTTTAGCAACAGAAATGTCTTTCCCTCAATTTGATCAATATTTATGCACAATTTGAAGGTTTTCCTCACCACTTTGAAATGATGATTTAGTTATGTGTCCTCTTTTTATGTTCATCAGGAACATTTTCACACAGTGATGCATTCACTTAAAAACATGTAGACTTCAAGTTCTTGTGTTTCTGTTCTGTTTTAGCCCTGCAGAGTTCCTCCAGCTGGAGCTTCATACAGGCTCTGCAGACTTTGTTGTTTTTTATGACATCATTGAACTAACTTTAGTTTAGTTTATATATAATCAAACATAATACAGAATGTGTTCATTCTGTGACACATGATCAAAGTAAGTTTTACTGACAGAAGAGTTTAATTCATAGAGGGGGCGGGACATTGTTGATTGATAGACAGACAGTCACCATGGTTACTCACTTTTACCTGCCTGCTGCTTTGTAACGTCATTTAGTGTAATCCCTATAGGTTCAGTCATCACAACAGGTGAGCTTCAGGTGGAGAGGATGATAGTAACTTTAAAAACCAAGAGAGAGCGGAAAACACCGACAGCAACATTTGAAACACCGGGGTTATATCTCCCCTCACTGTCTGTCTGAGCTCCGCCCTGTCTGTCTCTGACTGTTAACGTCTCTCTGTGTCGCTGTCTGTAGATGTAGACTAATCTTAACTGTGCACACTATGCAGATAATCGTTAACTGTTGCTCACAGCGTGTCGGTTTGGAAAAATATCAGAACAGTTGCATAAACCCGAGATGGAGTTGTTTTTACGGACTTTACTTTTAAGTTTCGTTTTCACTGCTGCGGAGCAGAAGAGGGGGGGGGGGGGAGATGTGTCTGTGTCGCAGCATAAACTGCAGCATGAGAGAATAAACACATCAGCCCGGTTCTACGATCTCTCTGCTTTGGCAGATCGTCAGCATGTTAAAGTCCTTCACGATCTAAGATCGTTATATCGCCCACCACTACTTGAAGGTGCACATCGCTGTTGTCTATCAACTATTGTTTATAACGCTCGAGCCAAGGAGGAAAGAAAGCTTACCCGCCTAAAACCATATAGAAAGAATAGGAGAGATACATTTGAATGAATCAACATTGAAAAGGCAGAATAGAGTAAATTAGGATCTGATTTAGAACAGAATAGAATGAAATGTCAGGAAGGAGGAGGATTGCTGCCACAGAGGCTCCAGAGCCTTGATGAGGCAGAGTCTGATGGAGGTGCAGGTTCGGATACAGAAAGTGATGTCTCCTGGTCTCTCTTCATCTGACACCGGCTCTGAGATTGAACCTGAGAATGATACAGAGATCATTCCCATTTGCAAAAAACGCCGGCTGCTGTTTCCGTGGTTGTCGATAAACTACTCAAATTTCAAATTCATTAGAATTTAATGTTTGTGTCCTTAAGTTTATTACCTTTCACAACATTACAGATCCATTTATTCTTATATTTGATATTGATTATTGAAATGATATGCAAATAATTCGTAAACAGTCAAAATGACCGCTATGGTCTTTCTAGTAGTGATAGAATGCCGATCGTTCTACTGTAAATAGATCAATAGAACACTGAGAAACATGTTAACTACCCTCTTATGTCACTATGGACAAAAATGTCCACTTCCAAAAAACTGCTATAAAAATAGAATACTTTTCTACTTTTTTCTGCATAAATCTCTTAAACAACTTCAGCCCTGCTCAAAACTACCAAACATTCAATCATTTTAAAGAATTTAACCCTTTAAATGCCAGTTTGATTACTTGATGTCACTGTTGTTATTTATGAAAAAACCCACAAAAAATTAGTTATTTTCTATGTAACAAATATTTGGTGGCTGGGGGATTTTTTAAAAATCAGTCTTGGATATGTCAAAGATTATCCATCCATTATTAAGAGATGTATGCAGAAAAAAGTAGAAAAAATATCAATCTGTTCTATTTTATATCAGTTTTTTGGAAGTGGACATTTTTGTCCTTAGTGACTTAAGAGGGTCGTAAATTAATCTGATGCCTGAGGGTTAAGGGAGCTATCATCAAGTTCATATGACACTTTCATGATTCAGAAGGTTCTTCATCAGTAGCAGCCATTTTTTGCTCTTAATGAAAAGTCTCATCGGTGTCCGTATGGGAGAGATCAAATGCATCTACTGGAGCATGTAAAGCATTTGTTGAGTTTGCATAGTGGTGAGCTCCCAGCCTATATACTCTTTCACTGCACTATAACTTCACTTATCTGCACTATATCTATATATATATTTCTTTACCTAATCAGTCACTGCACAATAATAACTGTGTATATTCTTTCAGTCACCACAACTGTCTATTTATTATTATAATTATAATTATAATAATAATTATTATTATTATTATTATTATTGTTATTGTTATTATTATTATTGTTATTATTATTATTATTATTATTATTATTATTATTATCATTATTATTATTGTTATTATTATTATTATTATCATTATTATTATTATTGTTATTGTTATTATTATTATTATTATTATTATTATTATTATTATTATTATTCATTCACTGAACAGCAGTTGGCCACTCTGGCCACTTTTCACAAACATATTTGTCTTCATATTACCACAAATATATTTTTGTTTTTGTAAACGCTGCTGTATAGGATTGCTGCTAACAAAGTTTTCTTGTGTCCTTGTATACAATGATAATAAAGATTCTATCTTTCTATCTATGCCTTTAGAAAGGATTAAATAGTTTGTATTTGATTTCATGTCTTTGCAAAACTTTCGACAGATGGTGACCCTTTTTGGTTTTTGGGGCTGGAAGTCTTTGTTAAGCTCAGCATTGTTCTAACTTTCAGATCTGACCGGTCGTGGCCTCAGTCCGGGGTCCGAGTTGATGGTTCAACGCTGCAGTTTCTGAGCATCACCTCCGAGCTGAACGGCCTCTACCAGTGCGAGGCGTCGAACTCGTATGGGAGTAAACGTGCTTACCTCCGTGTGCATTTCACCTCAGGTGAGATCCCTTTTGACTCGCCTCCAGTTATTTCAGCAGCCAAATGAGTTTATTATAGCACGTTGTTCCCGTGGAATCCTTAAGGACATGGTGAGAGTTGAAATGCTGGATATACTTGATTAGGATTCCTCTGAGACTCCTCCATGCCGAGAATATTGAGATTTTTAAACGCAGTCTGAAAACTCATTTATTCAGTCTGGCTTTTATATAGCGCTTTATATAAATTCAAATCTTAACATTATTGTTTTGTCTTTTTTAATCCTACTACAATTTTAAATATTCCTCTCCTATGTACTAATTTTAATATCTTATTGCTTTTATGTATTGTTTTTATATATATATTAGTCTGTCAGTGATTTTATAAACTACTTTTTCGTCAATAACTTTTCTGCACTCTTGTAAAGCACTTTGAACTGCAATTTAATTTGTCTGAAAAGTGCTATATAAATAAAGTTTGATTGATGTGTGTAGATATTTCAGCTGTGTCCAACTGTAAGAAGAGGGTCCAGGATACCCTGGTTACGCAACAATAGCTCCTGCACATGGCACAGGAATGCCTTTAAAGTTGCTTTAGCCTCCCTCTCTGAGCCGCCCTTTGAAAAAAAAGGCTTTAATAACCGACAGTGAACACCAGCTCATGTTTGCAAAACAATTGACCTATTATGGTCAAACATTCCAACATGTGAGGATGAAGCTTGTTTCACAGCTGTTCTCTCTTGAGTTTTGCAGCAGCTGTGTGATTGAAAATATAACTGTTACTGTAGATCTGTTGTCTTTTAGGGCATCTGTACTGAAGATACTATCAAACCTGAAACCAACAGGGATCAGTATCATTTAAAAACACTTTGTTAAAGTATCAGAGTGTTAAAAACGCTGACATCCCACAATAAAGATAACTTGTTATGTTTAGTATGTTATTCACAGAATGCTATTTAGTCATTAACCATTAGCAGCTGATTTAATGCCTGGCTGGATGGCAGCTGTCAGCAAATTGTTAACATAACTGAGCTGGGTAGTTTTTTGTTTTTTCTGCCTGAAGCTCCCAGTGTTACCTGATCTGTCTGGATCTGATCTTAGTGCTGAAGGAAAAGGAGCTGAGACATTTAATGAGCTTCAAAGTGTGATTCACTGCAGGCCAGTTGTACTAATTCAGATTCAGACAACTTTATTAATCCCAGAAGGGCAATTCAGTTTCACAGCCTACTGAGTCTTGTAAAGAAAAAACAAAGACAATAAACAAAACGAGAAGCCAGAGCTAGCAAATCTAGAAATTCCAGATATGTATCTAATAAACAGATACATTCTACAATTCACTTATCAGACTCTTTTATCCAAAGCGACGTACATCAGAGAGTAAGAACAACACAAGCAAGGATCTAGAAAAAAGGGAACAATGTGAGTAAGAGCAAACGATCAGCTTTGAGTCTGATTGGACACACAGGTGCTGACAGGAAGTGACCAGAGGCAAAGCACAACATTGAGGGCAGTTCTTGAGAGCTCTAATCAGTATAGAAACCATCTTATAAGTCATCGTTATCAAACAAAAACCATCGTCATTACCATCATCATCATCAATAATATGGAGACCATCATCATTAAGTTAGTAGGTATTCATGAAAGAGCTGGGTCTTTAGCTTTTTCTTAAAGGTGCAGAGGGACTCTGCAGATCACATGGAGTTTGGAAGTTCATTCCACCACGGGGGGCGACAGAGGAGAAGAGTCTAGTCAGCGTCTTAGGACCCTGTTGTGAAGGTTGGATCAGACGCCTTTCATTGGAAGAGCGTAGTGGGGGGGGGGGGGAGTGTAGACCTGGATCAGAGAGTTAAAGTAAGGAGGAGACGTTTTTGTCGCTGTTTTGTAATCGAGCAGCAGAGTTTTAAATTTGATGCGAGCAGTAACTGGGAGCCAGTGTAAGGAGGTGAACAGCTCTTTTACATAAATGAATGGACCTCACAGGTCACCTAAGGGTGCAGTAACAGTCCATTCAGTACTGGACTGCATTGGATTAAATTAACTGGTCGTGCAAATCTGTACTTCCTGTTACTTCTTCATGTTCTCCTCTGTCCTGTCTCTCTACAGGATCCTGCACTGCCAGTTGGACCCTCTTTGTTCTTCTGCTCGTCCTCGTTGTTGCTGCTGTCTTGTGTTGCTTCTATAAACGTATGGAAATTGCAAGGTACGAAATATGAAAGTATCTCAAACACTACAGTGAACTATTCAATTCTACTATTAAATATAAAAGCTTATACGGTTACATACTGTGACTACTAACTTTTACTTTTTTTATTACCTTGTAGATTCATACTACGGGAAGAAGGCGGCACACGAGGCAAGAGGCAAAAGGTTCCAACGACTTCCAGCTCACCTGAAGGCCATGACAGAGTAGAAGAAGATGGAGGGGAAACAGAGGTAAGACATTTGTTACATGGTAGGTATTCAGGGAAAGGTGAAATTCCATTGGTCATGTGACGATGACATCATCAGCTTCATGTTGCACTAACACCTCCAACATCTTCACCTGCATATACCTGCTGCTGTCTGTTTTCAACCAGTGCAGTTTGACCTGAGAGACAGAAGCTCCTGAATGCATCACAAAAAGGCCTTTTCCAATGTAGTGACTTAACAACCTAAGAACTCCCAATGGGTTTCCTTTTTCAAGTTATTCCAAGATTTATATAAAATTAAAAAAAGACTATTTGCAGACTGAGTGGAAATAAATCAAGTTTTAATGAAATGTTTTTGCCTTCTCTTCCTCAGGGAGAGCTTTGAAATCAGTCGAAGCAACAGAAGAGGATCACAGCTGGACTGAAGGTGATTTGCAGACTTCCAACACTATTCATTCCTGACGCAGCCGTTAGTGAAAATAGGCAGTATTCCTGGTGCTTTACATTTTGTTGATGTCATTGACATTGGTTTTAAAAATAGCCAATTTCTCAATTCAGATATTTAAAGTTATTGTTTCCAAATATTACAACTGAACAGCTAGTAGTATTATCAAAAAAAGAATGTCAAAAATGAACCTGAAGGTTAAGAGCTTTTCTGAAGAGTCACCAAAATATGAAAGTCAGCTACAATGTTGATGTAGAACTAACAAGGCAAAATTGGAAGAAGTCAAAAAGGAAGGAAACCGTTTAACTGTCACCAGTTTTTAAACATGAAGGCCTGTGGCTTTAACCGTCAGCCACCAGGAAGGTACTCTGTTTTCACACCAACAGTATTAACTGCTGGTCACAGCAAATGAGTATGAAGCATGTGTACATGCACACAGAACAGAACAGGTTTTGAAAGGAAAGTAGGAAAGAAGATTTTGAGATTTGTTTTTGTGTCTTTGTGCCAATCTAAGTAGTGCCTATAAACGAGGTGATCCTTACAGGAAAAGTTGAAGCACTAACAAGCCTTACCCAGCATTTTGTAGTCAGGCTATCAGTCTGCTGCTGTGACTTTTCACAGAGTTAAACAACTGAAATACACATTCAAGCACCTAAATTATGTTGTTTACAGGTCATTAGCACTTCAGTTACAAAGCTGCTAAGAGGAGCTTTCATTTTGTGTTCAATTTGACTACTACCCCCTGGTGGCTGAAATGGGTACCGATTTGTGTGAAGATGTTTTTTTTTTATCTTTCCATGGCTATTTAAGATCGTAACTGTGATAACAAAATGCAGTTATTCATTATGTTATGTTATGTTATGTTATGTTATGGGGGCGGCTGTGGCTCAGTTTGTAGAGTCATCACCTCTCAACCGGAAGGTCGAGGGTTCGATCCCCAGCTGTGCAACATGTCCGATGTGTCCTTGGGCAAGACACTTAACCCCGCATTGCTCCTGCTGCTTCAGTGGCGGTGTATGAATGGATTAGTTTTGTACTTACTCTCTGATGTATGTCTTGTGTCTGCTAAGTAAATTGTTACATTGTAACATGTTTTGATGACAATAAGCTATCATCAATGTGTAATCAGTAGAGTGTTCTTTTAGACTGATAGCTGCAGTGTGTTTTTTTTATTAAAGTCCTGTAAAGCCTTGCTTATCTTTTTTTACTGATGATGTTTTCTACATTTTCCCTTCATGCACTAAGCCTTATTTTATCTTACTTTGTTCTGCTGTGCATTTTATTGTTATTCTTTTTGGAAAGTTAAATCTAGATAACCAATGATGCTTTAACCACACTTTGATGTAAGACACTTTTTGTTTTTTCTTTTTTAGCTGTAAAACATTTCACTTCCTGCTCTATGGTTATCTGTTTGCTTTATTTAGCATTTTATTTGAACTGTTAATTTATTAAAGCTTGTAGAAAAACATCACAAATTCTTCAATCCCATGTCGTTCATTTGTGTGTCTTCCTCACATACCATCCCTTATCTGTGGTTAGCTAGGGATCGTTTTTCTTCATGGGTTGGACTATGACACCTTTTTTTACCACAAAACAAATACCCACAGTGAGGGCAAAGAAAGAGACCAAAGCTTGTCTTCATGACTGAATCAATGGAAACAGCACCTGACAGGAAGCTGGGCTGAAGGAAACAAAAGTCCCTTCTTCGTTGTGAGACAGGAATGAATTACTTGTTAAATGGGCTGTATTTCTGTATTTCTGCTATGTTACAAAGACCCGGTCTATCCATCATGAGCACTTTAGCAAAGCAGCAAAAGTTACAGTGGTAAGAAAAAACCTTCTTATTAAAAGGCAGAAATCTTCAGCTGGATCCCCGGCTCATGATGAAACAGCCTTCACAGGCCTAGACTGCGCCGGGCTTGGAAAGGGATAGGGGGAGAGATGGGATAAAATGCAGGAAGAGGGATAGGGAGCAAGGGGGTGATGACGATTGATGACGATTCTGACGTCAAGTCGGCAAGACGAGCACCTCCTTCTTTTCCGAGTTTCCGACTTGTTGTTCCGACTTGAGCAGGTGTTCATGTGCATTTTACAACTCGGGCATCGTTTTTCCAATGTGCCTGACACCCTGAATGCACCATCTGCCAATTGTGCCGTTCGATGACGTTACCACTGTTATTAGCCAATAGTTTATCTGTTTATCTGGAACAGTGAATTTAGTTAACACATGCTTTGGAGAACGATCTAATTACTGTCTTCAGAGAAAAAGTTATGCAAGTACACAAAACACAAATGTGGTCAATTTTGTCCTGCAACCTCGTGGTGCCAATACATTAATGGACTAAATGGTAGGCTGCTGGCATGTACAACAGAAGAGGTCCACCGAGAGTGGATTGTTTTTAATTCTGCCAAATGTGCTTTCCTCCATCATTCATTTTGCCACTTGTTAAACTCTCAGGACCAGATTTACTGAGCTCCCAAGTAAAGAGTACTAAATTGCGCGTTCACTCCAAAAGTTTGCACGTTTGGTTGGTGGGCGTTTTGCGGGAGATCTACTAAGAAAATTTGCGTGAATGACACCACTACTGGTTTCTACTGGTTTACATCATGGAGAGTTTGGACAGAAAGCCAGATGACTGCAAGCGCAAAATAGGTCTTAGTGAGAGAGGCAAATAAACGCACAATACTTTCGAGTTATAGAAGATAAATCTGAATATTACAAAGAAACTTTTGGTTATAAGAAAACCTCGGCGTTAAACAGGGCCTCTCTTTTCTTCCCTTCATCTTAAGAATGAAGTGTCATACATTGAGCAGGAGGTGTGAGCTGTGTCCTCTGTGGACCGGGCGCTCTACACTCCCTGTTGTTGTGCAGCAGACAGCTGGTCAGCGCTGTGTCTGATCGGACATAAATGCCCTGGAAAAAGGTATCGAAGACGGGGGTACAAACAGTGGTGAGGTCCCCTAATCCAAGCGTCCTACGGAGTAGCAGCAGCTTTAGAGGGAGGAGACGAGCGCATTATGGAGAGGAGCGCACCGGAGGGGGCGAGCTGGGGAGAGACGCGCAACCCGAGAAAAAGGAAATCCCCAGTTTAAAATGTAATGTTGGTGAAAAGAGAGAAATAGGATGACATAAATGTCAATGTTGAAATTCTATAGAATTCAGAGGCTGTGAATGTTCAGTTTTGTTTGGCTAGATGGCAACAACAGCCTGTAGTTTAATCACGTTGTTTATCTTTCTTAACAATTAGAATATTGAATCAAATTAAAAAATAAAAGCATGCCATTTATTTTTCTGTCATTTGAAAGATGGAAACACTGTGATGTTGTAGGTAAAATGTTCTCTGAATTTCCATGGCAAAAATACATTTTTGTCCTCCTCCTGGTCGTTTGTCTCATCCTCTGCCATTGTCATTGTGTGGAAAGTGCTCTCGCGCATTGACTTGCAGCGTACCTGCGCACATAGAGCCACCTGCTACCTGCGTGTAGTGCCGTAAAGTAATCCCTATAAGTAATCATTTTTTGAGAAAGTAACTGTATTCAGAATACACCAATTTAAACTGTAACTATAACGGAATACAGTTATTCTTATTTTGTATTTTAAATACGTAACGCCGTTACATGTAATCCGTTACTTCCCAACCCTGCGTTTCAGACAGGGAATCTAAAGGCCAATATGACACAACAACTATAAAATAAAAAGGACAAGAAAGCCAAAAACAATAAATTCATCAATTCAATTAATTAAGAAAGAAATATTAACAATAATGAAATTATATTTCAACTTTTGTTTAGGTTTAGATTAAGTGAAATACTAAGGCATACATAAGGTGTAAGACATAAAAAGATCTTATACATCTCAAAGTATTTAGGAAGTCAAATAACTTAATTTAAAAATTCTGAATTTCCCCCACAGAGGGGATGAATCAAATATTGACTTATCTATCTAATATAGGGTAACAAGATATCTATCTATGAAATTTGTTAATCTTGAGATAAGCTTAAATAATTTAAATTTCTGTAAAAAAATACTTGGCAAGTGTAATCAAGTTATTTAATGATCAAGTTATTGCATTTTTTTTCTATAATCCAGGTAGAGACAGGCCCTTTAAAAATCAGACATTTCCAGTCATACTCCTCAGGTTGAGTACATAAACAGGTACACAATGAGAGACGTTCAAATAAAAAGAGCCGTAAATAACTGAAAGCACAAAATATAACAAAGTGAAATAACTGAATTACAACAGGGCTATCTCAAAGTGCAGTTATCCCCAAACTTTTAAACACATTTCCATAAACTGTCACCCAATTTCTCAACACCTCAGAGACAAAAAAAAGAGTGAACTACTTTGTGAAAACTCTACAAATGTCTTACAAAGTGAAACAAAGCTAAAAACCATGTCCCCTCTTCTCTAAACTGATTCATTTAACCAAAACAATACACACTGATGTGAACAATTCAAAACACTACCATCAAAAGTGTTCATGTATGTTTTGGATGAGAAGCAAAAGAAAAAAAAAAACCTTCATGTGCAAGCACCTAGTAAGAGAGAGTACCCTGCTGATGAATGTAGACACAGAGGGGTTTTCAAGTGGGCACTCTCCTTCCTCAGTGTTTTTGTTGTTGAGCTGACGACGTCTCAGGAGGGCTCAACAGCGCCCTCTGGTGTCCCAGAAAACATCCCCTATATGTCAACCTGGACTGCTACTTTGGGTCCCAGCAGAGGTCTTGCATCTTCATCCATAGCCATTGGCTGTTTCTCTCTGCAGCTTTGGTCGCTTCCTGCAGTTTCTGGCCTCTTAGGTCTCTAAGCAGCTTCAAACCTAAGGCAAGGTGAGTTTATTTATGTAGCACATTTCAACAACAAGGTAATTCAAAGTGATTCACACAAGACATCAAAAAGCATCATGACAGAGGAAAGAAAAGAAACATTAAAATAGAACATTTAAAAAATCACTGAAATTATTAAATCTGAAAATATGTTCAAATAAAAATAATTCAAATGAAATTAATTGAAATTAAAAAAAGTAAAAATATAAAAAGAGTTAAAAGTTACAGAGCAGAGTTAAAGTTTAAAATCTTATTAAAGCTGTTTAATGAAAGGCTGTAAACAGGTGAGTCTTCAACCTGGATTTAAAAGAGCTGAGAGTTTTCTGGGAGTTTGTTCCAGATATAAGGAGCATAGAAACTGAACGCTGCTTCTCCATGTTTGGTTCT